CCTACATTCAGCATATGTAATCACTTAATTAATATACAGCACATAATAGAGTGTTGTCAAGATTTTTGGGCTGAGCTGACAGTACTGACTGCTCAGTTGTTAAATGGCAGATACTTCTATCCAGTGTTGGCTTATTTCCATGAATATGAACAGTATTCTATGCAAACACAACAACAACCAAATTCCTTGCAGTAGTAGTGTTATTACCAAGCTGTAGTCACTCAGCATTGCAGGACTGAAAAGCAATGTGATTCAGTCATGCTGGGCTGGCTATACTGGAGGCTTTGCCAAGTTAGCGTTAGCATGTAAATAATTGTGCAGTACAATTTATTGTGTGCACATTTAACACATGAAGATCATGTGTTTATTGCATCACATGAAATGCTAATAATATCCAAACACTTTTGTTTTGCCTGTCTTCATTCATCTTCATTCATTCCTTGTTGTTTCTTCCCATAGTTTTAGGAAAATGAGACAAATGGCTGAGTGTTTATTTTCACTATGAGAAACATTTACATGTTAACACAGTTCCAGCCATAGATGTGGGATTTTGGAGACTGAAAATTATATTGATGTGGTAGTTCTAAAATACTGAAGCATTACATTGACCAATATTCTCTGTTTTTTCCATAAACATATAATCAAATTGATAACAATCCCTTAAAGATGGATATCAAACGAACAGTGGGAGATTTTAGAGTTGACAGATTAACCTGTCAGTACTCTCTGATGGATAAACTAACTAATGGTGACACCGTTTCTAAATTACATCAAAGATATTATTGACCTTCCAGTACTATACTTTCTCAGCCCTTGATGGCTGATGTATATGCTGATATTGATGCACTTATCTGTCCAGACGACTCATCTCTCGGTCCCTAAAGTGAACACACATGTATGTAGATGGGAACCTTTCAGTTTTTTTGTTCCATAAAATATGTATAAAAACTGCTGCATGCAAATCTATTAGTAAACATTCTCAGCACCATGGAACTGCCCACCGGGAAGCACAAAGTAGTAGTCTGCATCCGTGCACTACTGCAGTGATTTTAGGTAGGAGTGTTGGCTAAAAACTGCTTCATGTGTCATTTTTATTTAATGTTTACTGTTTGTATTTTCAGTGAGGTGGAAAAGACACCCTCAGTGAATCATTTTGTCAAATTTACATCACATCCGAGCAGCAATAGTGTCTTTAAAAACATACAAGAAACACTCTGTGCACATAACAAAGGTTTAATGTTAAAATTAGGACCAATTAAGCTTTGACTGAATTTAACATTCTATTTGGATCGCATATGCATCTCTTGTTTAGAATGAGTGAACTTGCTCAGCTGACCTTTCATAATATTCTGCAAACATTCTCTCAAGGTAACTATTACGTGCTGGGACCTTAAGCCATCGGCAATCATAAGAGTGTGACTAATTTGGCTATATTAATAAAAAAAACCTTCTAAATAATTTAAATAAATGCTGCTGGCCAGTGAGATCATTCAAATATGTGGTCACTGAGACATTTTAAATGGGTTTAGTTGTACAATTAGAGTTTAAATTTCCACAGCACAGCTGGGAAACATCTGTGGACATGCCCTTTGTTAAACAGTACCATGAAATTGAAAATGTGATACTCACTGGGGTCGACCTTTCACACTACACTTAGCAGACCTGCTGATATATCATATGAGTAAGAATATGTTCGACTAAGCCTGGGCCCCTTGGTAGAGCCGCTGCCTCCACACAATCCTAACTTGTCCAGAGGAGGCAGTGGTCATACAGACCTGGCAGCTCCCACATGTGAATGTAAGAAACTATGAATGTGGAGGTTTGTTTAAGACGAGCACAGATGCTCTTTTTTAACTTTTCTCAAAGGAGGCAGGCAGTTGTAACAAGCTTGGGGTGTTTGCCATTGATAGAGTAATGGTTCTTAGTCTTTCTGTCTCAGGAGCCCCACAAAGTAATGCTCATAACACAGCTGGATGTGACCCCTTTGTTGTCGAAATGAACATTTTTATTTTCTTAAATATCCAAGATGTTTAAACTTCAGCTGATAACTGGCTGATCCCCTACAGGGATGATATACTGTAGGTGCCATGTGACTCTTACTGTTAGGAGTGTGCTTCTACTGTAAGATGAACATTGGGGTGAAATAAATATATTCTCTCTCTCTCTCTCTCTCTCTCTCTCTCTCTCTCTCTATCTATATATATAGTATATGTGTGGCAGAACATACTGACAGAAGGATGTGATATCAAGTAGCTTTTCAAAGATGAGTTTTCAGTGTGTGACAAGATGTGGAGTGACTGCATTGCAGGGGTCATCTCACCCCTGAGAGGCCAGTGGGGAGAGGAGCCGAGATGTGTGCAGTGATCACTGAAGGACAGTGATTTGAGAGCGGTTGCAAGTAGTTGATGTGTAACTCTGACTCAAGCTCAGCGTGTTTAAAAGGAATATGTTTTTTTTTTTGTTGTTTGTCTTTTTTGCCCCTGATCCTGAACCTTCCATAGTCAGACCTGCTGCCTAAACTCTTCGCAGTCAGTTTGCAGCCATGGGAAAGTTTTTTTTTTTTTAACCACATGAATCTGATTTAGTACCTCCTGAGGAAAGCAACATGCAGTTTATAAAAAATAAATAAAAAGATTGCATTTAAGTTATAAATATGTCCCTCATGTTTAACTTACCTGCAAGGAAGTGTGTCACTAATTCTTCAGTATCTCTGAATTTGACATACAAGTGCATATATTGACAGAATACATTCTACTCGGCACGACTTCCTTCAGCTCTCCTTTAGGTTGATGCATTGTAAATCCATGAGCTATTCAGGTTAGCCTCTGGAGGCTGCTGTCTACACCAATGCAGTGGCCTGTCCTCATTTTAAGATTTAAAAAAAAGTCTCTCGTATTATTTTTGTTTCATTTTTCCCTCACATTTTCAAGCCTGACATTGTCAGCCAGCTTTTAAACAATCTTTAAAATTAGAGCAACACTTCTAAATAATTCCTTTTGGGAATGGAGACAAAGTCCAGCATAAATCCACAGCACACATGCCATAAAATGTGGGACCTCTGTAATTGAGGAATTGAGCTGCATAGGACTCATCCTGACTGAAGTGCAAAAGCAAAGAAAGTCCGTGGTTTGTGGTCAGAATGGCATTGAATAAGCGTAGCAGCTAAACATATATGACACAGGGTTTGAGAGAACATGTTATTCTTCATTGATCATAAAGTAAAACATCTGTTACAGGTTTTATTTGAAAAAAAGTGCAGAAATGTAGTCTGTTTTGCCCCTAGACATATGGGGAATTATCTACAATTCTGGTTTTTTTTTCTGTCAAAATTTCCTCCGAACAGCCAGTGGGGGCTCACTGGCATACAGACACTGTATCTGTGCAAATATTACTTTTTACTGTATGCTTGCTGAACTAATGCCTTCCTTCAGCTGTGGCCCCAGGAGGGATAGCTCAGTTTAAAAAAGAGATTCTGCAAGCTTTAAGTCACAGGGGACACTGTGGTTGGCTGACAGAAAAGTCACTGAGGGGAGATTAGAATAATATTTTTAAATCCACTGATTTGGTTGTGCGCCATAACCTGGACGAATGGCACTTCCCTAGATGTTACAGAAGTAGTCGGTTTGTGACTGGGAGGTCAAAAAAATGTGTTTGGTGAAAGTGAGTCAGCAACAAAACAGGCCAAGTGGGAAAGGAGCATGCAGGCTCAGTCAAGTTCTCAGGGTGGACTCACAGCGCAAAGAACAGAGAAGTGACTGAAGAGCATTGTGGGACTCACCAGAGATAAATGCACCGAAGTAGCGGGCTTCCTCAGTGGCAGCCGCTCGCAGATGAAGGACAAATGTATTGTCTTCTTCTGCCACCACATAGTGTCTCTCCTTTAAATGTGACACTAGGGGGGGCTGTCGCTCCTTCTTAGCCTCCTGTAGAGGCCGTGGAGTCCGACAGACAGGCAGGCAGACAGGCGGAGAGGCAGCAAGGCTCACCGTCTCCGGAAATCCTCCCATCCCTCCGCCGACGGACTGATTTGCAATTCAATAAGTCACAATGTCATCTCTTTAGCGTTTACACATTTAGCTTACAAAGGGAACCAGGCACGCTGCCTTATGAAATATCGTTGCGGACTCAAAGAAGACCTTAAGGTTCTCTCTCTCATGGTTTCCTCAAGTCACACCCCCCCCCACCTACGCTGCAAAGACATATATACACGCGCGCGCGCACACACACACACACACACACACACACACACGGGCCTCATTAATAGAAAGTGAATGAGTTTTATTACAAGGTGCCTGGTGTATCAGTTGTACAAGCTGTCACACTGGAGGCGGACGTGGCTGTGTACGTGTACGCGCGCTCTAGAGCCAATACATGAGCGTTCATGTGAAGTTGACATCTATCGATTACAGAGAGAACAGGTGTAGCGTGTGTCTTTTAATGAATAATGCAGAGAGAGGCTTTGAAAGGATAAACAGCACGTGAACGCGCACGCGCACGCAAGCGACGGAAACACACACACACGCACGCACACACACACACAATCCATCCAGATAAATAGGCCTCTTCTGATGGCACTTGCTCTTATTCTAAAGTTGTTCATATTTTAAAGTTTTAGTAAAAACATCGGGCTGAACACAAACATCCCTTTAACCTCTGATAGTTTGGTTCGTAGGCCTTAGTTTTACAGTCATTGGATTTTAATGGCAATGTTTTAATTTATTTTGGTTTTTCATTCCTGCATATATGTTAACAGTAGCTGTAGTTGTGGTGTGGATGTGTATGTCACCTTCTAAAATGAATACATAAAAGTAATAATACTAATAAACAAACCATATAAGGAAATCTGAAATTATGAAAGAATTGGAAAAAGCTTAAATAAATTCCTATAGCCTTCATTGGCTGCTAAACTGCCACTCAAATCCCCAAGCCCCGCCCAATCCCACCACCCTTCCCAGCCCCACAGCCTCTGCTGGCCCTCCTCCTTCTTCCTCCTCCTCCTCCTCTGCCGGCTGGTGGAAGCGCCAGACCTCCTCCTCGGTTCTCTACTTTCTCCATCCCGCGGACGAGTCTATACAGCTTCTCAAGTTGAGCCCAGACGCACACAGATATAACACGCACAGCAAGAGGGAAAGATCCGACAGGACAGACTAAGGGAGGAAGGAGAACGGACGGAGTTACTGCCGGGCGAAGGGAATTTGGATTTTATTTAACATATTGGCGTTAAACCACCGAGTTTTCCTTCTTTGTTTCAAACCTGCCTAGGAAGTGGACTTTTTAAAATTCAGTTGGGAGTTCTTGCTCCACTCTGCTGGTCTGTTTAAACTTTGGAAGAAAGAAAAGTGTGATAGAAGGAGAGACAGTGAGGCTTTAGTCGTCCCATTTGGATGAATAAAGCAGAGGAGCACACCGGCGGAAAAAGCTCCTCTCGGTGAAGACGGGTTCATTCCTCGGTTCTGTCTTGAAGAAGAGACATCGCACTTTTTTTGAGAGATGGATTAAAGAAGAACTCTGTGCCGTAATTGCTAATTGGGGATTTCTCCTTTATTACTGACTGTAGAAGGATTTATAGTTTACTCAAAACGTCATTTGCGCGCTGTCTTAAGTCAAGCACAGTGGGAGCGCCGTTTTGCCAAAATGAGATTATTGATGGCACCGTCGCGGTAGTGATCGGTCTGAGGGAAGAGACGAGCTAAAAGTTGAGAGGTCCGCTTTGGTTCAATTTGTGAACAGTCCCGTGGCTTCTTTCTTTATTCCCCCTTTTCCATTTTTTACCAATAGGAGGGATGGAGACGATCTGGAGAAGGGGAGGCGCGCCGGTGGGATGTCGCCTCTGAAGGACGGTGCTCCTTCTTTTCCTGTGGAAAGGTAAGTGATGGAAATACCGTCGAAGACTTGTTGCCAGTTTTAAGACGATGTGGTTTTGTTGTTTTGGGCTGGCATGTCGTACTCATTCCTCGTGTGTGTGTGCGTTTTCTGTTTTGTTTTACCATCTTTTATAATGGGTCTGTTAAAGGAAAATGGTCAACTTCTTGCCCCACATGCACTGTTGGATTTCGGAAAATCATTGCGTTATGATTGACTGCTGGCGCATTTTCCCTAAGTTATATGGAGAGGAGTGATGTCAAAATTTTGTCTGCAAAAGTCGGGTTATATCTGTCCATCAACAGTGTGTTGGTAGGCAATGCATCACTGAAACGTGTCAAACTGCAGTAAGTTGCATGAAGTTTGAGATTTCGGTGCCATATGGAGCACAGGCTGGATGGCATGTGACAACATTTTAACACAACTCTGGAAATTGAAATGAAGTGTGTTATTTTTTTGTATTAGCAGTTGACAATTGATTAGCCCATATTCACCTTGACACCCCGTTGTATCTGTGGGTGTGTGTGGAATAATAAGTAACTAACCGAGCTGAAGCTCAAATGACAGCTGCTTAATAAGAGGTGCTCTCTGAGACACGCGAAAGTCGGAGGCTGACCCACTCGCTTTAGTTTTTAGAGAGGACGAAGGGAATTATAGGGTGTTACTTCTCAATTCTAATCTTGTTTTTGAAACTGAAAAGGAAAAGGGAGACTGGTTGAGCGCTCCCGGAGTCCGGTAGGCTACCCCCTGTAAGAGGTGACTTGAAGGACCTTTAAAAATGTTATGAGGTCCTTTAAATCGCAGATAGAAATCCAATCAGTTGTCCCCTCGCCTCTCGTAAAATGTACTCATGGGCACAGGGAACCGAGAGAATGACCAGCGCCAGACTGTTCTTCCTTTGTTAAGTAATTGAGGTGAAATTATGATAACAATCTTTCTTCGTTTCAAACTTGCACGCATTGTAGAGAACAGAGAGAAGAAGGAGATCCGTATCTCTCATATATGCCCTTTAGGAGAAGCACTGACTCTATTACAGAACTCTTTAAACGGCTTTTGTATGTGTCTGACTTGGGGTGCGTGACTTATCAAAACACAATTTAGTCGGTTTTACAAGCTCATTTGAAGCCAAGATTTTAAGAAATTCAGATTAACAGAGTGCGCAGATAGTGATTCGCCGTCTTGCTCAAGACTAAAACAGAGTTGAGATGCTCTGAATTCGGGTCGGGTAACACTACCACTGATTTACAAAACAAACAAAAAAATTAGAAGCGCAAAATAAAGAAGGCTGACAGATATTTTGGGTTTGAAGCCCTCCGAGTGCGCGTTTGTGCGCCTCCGTTGTCCACACAAATGGCAGTCGTTCAGCATTAGTATCACATTTCCCTGAGTGCCTTCTGTGTCTGCGTGCGCGTTTGTGTGTGTATTTTAATCAGCTCCGATCACTCACGGCCCACTGGCCACTTAACAATCGCTGCGTTGTGCGCTCCGGAGCGCGGTGGTCGCCGTGGTCACAGCGCACGGCACACCGACAGGAGGCCGGAGAGGAAAGGCCGAGCAGGGGCGACGCGGCGGAAAACAGCTGTGCCCGGCAAAACGGCTGAGTAACCAAAAAAAAAAAAAAAAATGAAATCAACCAAACAGCTCTTTGCTTCCTCCCCTCCTGCCACCTTCTCTTCGTTTCTCTTCTGTTCTTATGGGATGAAATAGAAAAAACAGAAAGGTTCCTTTTTGTCCAGGGTCTCTCTGTACATCTTTGCCTGACAGTACATTTCTGATTGCTGTTGAAAATCTCCACTGGTGGTTAGGTTGGTCAGTAGTATCTCTTTTATTGCTTTTTCTGGGCCTCTGCTTTTTCTCTCTTACATTGTCTTTCTATCTTTGCAACCACACTCATTGACATAACACATTCCCTAGCTCCTTAACCCTTAAAGCAAGTGTCATTATGTAAACAGCCCATTGAAGTTCTGAGGACTAGCTAAAATGTCCACACAGTGCCAAAGTGTCTTCACAATGCAAACCAAAATTTGTCCACATAACCAGAGAAGGACATGTACACACATACACACACACACACACTAACAGGGAAAGGTTTATTCCAACTTGGCTGTGGTGAAACGATTTTTATTGGAGAGTGCTGGCTCTCCTGGTGTAATGACCACCCAAGGCTGTTTAAAAAAGCAAAACACCAACCTTGCCTTTTCTTTCTCTCCTTATCTATGTGGGTCTCTCGCCTTCTGTTTTTGTCTCTGTCTCTGTGTGTATTGCCAGATTCAGTGTGCAAATCTTCCTTAGTGCAAATGTTTCAGCGTTTTTCTTATTCACACATTGCTTGTGCTTGTGTATGTTTGCATTTATAATAGGTGCATGCATTTGATTAGTCACATAGGCCTTTAGTCACCGCTGTTTGTGTGTATGCTTCTGTCTGTAGCCATCTGTAATACCTCAGAATTTTCCACCCACATATCTGACTTCTGCCACAGAAAATGTCCAACTTTTAAAAAATGGTTTGCATGGTTTTTGGTTGGTGTATGGTTTTTGGCATTTATAAGCACTGCATGTCATTGAGCATCTAATCAGAGAGTTATTTATTGGCCTTTTATCTCCTCAATCGTCCCTGTTTGTGTTATTGTCTCATTATTCCCTGAGTGGTGTTTCTATTTTTATGTCACTCCATTTCATTGTAATTACATCACTCTGTTATTTCATCATCCAGGTCGTCTGTAGGTTGTCATTGTGGGGTTCATAAGCTGAATGTCAGAGAGATGCCTGCTCACAGCCAAGCAACTAGTTTGAAGGTTCAGAGGCTGAAGAGTCTCTGAGGAGAGTTATCTCAGCAGAGCCAACAAAGGTTTATAACATTTACACGTTTTGTTCAGCAAGCCCAGATACGATCGCCAGAAGTAAAAAGCTATTATTAGGCTATAAAAGAACTACATCAGGGTCCCGTGACTTTAACGTCACCACCATGGCTTCCAACTTGTAATCAGATTTTCAGCAGTTACCTCCTCTACGAACTCATTTCCTGATCTAACTAGTGACCATGGCAGTGTCAGTTAGTTAGAGAAGTTTGGAAGTGTGCAAATAATGACAATGATGGCGTGCAAAATCCCAGATAGCCTCTGTAGTCTCATTTAGCCACTTGTTAGCCTTTTTAAAGAGACATAAAAGCATAAAATATCATTATTCATTATGTCATCAGTATTTTCTAACATATTTTATGTCAAAATGTGATAATGTATTGGCCTTGTGTTAACCACAGACCTTATTTCAGATATATAACCAAAAACCCATTCAAAATCCCCATAGACTTCAGGGCGAGGGAGTTGGAAGTACACAAATGCTAAGTCAGGTCTGGGTTGTAGGACTCACTACTATGACACCTTATTGGTATTGGGTCCAACAAGGGTCCCTATGTTAAACAAATGAGCACAGTACAACTATAAGATGAACCTTTTCAGGCTCTCAAACGTCAGTATCTATTATCAGCCCTGAGCTGTACTCTTTAAACGTGTCCAGATAAAATACCTGTTTATGATTGGCTAGCTGGTGTCACTTAATATTTGCCATTCAACAGTCTCACCAATGTTCCAAATCGGAGCACAAACACAAGTGTCAGTCTAAACAGGTGACCTCAGTATTTAGTGGCTCACTTGAATGCCTTCAGGTTTGTTGAGATTGTGTTTTTTTTTTTTGTTTTAATGCTTTTTTGTGTGTTAAGGTGGGTGTTTCTGTTTTTGTGCACGTTGACTTTGACAAATGACAACAAATATCGCCTTCTCAACTTCCATTGCTGGAGTAGATGTTGTACTGTTTGTGTGAAAGCCAGGAAACAAAAAGCCCTGCACTGTACAACCTGTGTATGTTGCATGTGCATTATTCACTCTGTGGACCGGTTTGCTTTAGACTGTCCAGTCCTCACTTTCTCACACACTGTCAAGGGGCTGTTTAAGGGTTAAAACTTGGTTCTAGGGTTAAGGTTGCAAACAGGTTTGGGTTAGGTGTTAGGCTAAGAGCTGAGGGTTAGGCATTTAGTTGTGGTGGTTAAGGTAAAGGTCAAGGGAATGCATTGTCACCGAGTGTCCTCACTATCATAGCTGTACAAATGTGTGTGTACTGGTCTGTGTGCTGTAGCGCACTTTGCACCACACTGTTATTCTGTAGCAGAATGTCAGCGCTATGCACCATTACTCAGAGCATTAATAATTACTGACATAAAATCACTGACACACACACGCACAGGTGTGAGAAGGAATGTGAGGAAAATGTGTGTGTGTGTGTGTGTGAGTGAGAGAGAGATGGCTAAACACCATGATGTTAGAAAATTATACCCCTTCAATATGCCTTTTCATTTCTGCCTTCGTGTCACACATGCACACACTCACATGGCCTTTTTGTCATAGTGAAGTGAGAAGGCAGACCAGAGAGAGAGATGCAGTGTAGAAGGTCACACACACACACTGAAAACCAAAAGTAGGTGGACTGGAAGAAGTGGACATAAAACACTCTTCCTTTTTCCCCAGTCATGAATTAATTTTAAAAAAAAACCTCTTTTCCAGTATTGATTTTTGTATATCTTTGTATGTTCTGGATATTGCAGTATGACAGCAAGGTCAGCTGTTTGGGAAAGCAGAGGAGATACACTCTCCCCACTTTTAAAAACTGTTGTCAAGGTTCTCCTGAAGAGGTGTGTAAATCACAGGTTTCATCACTGTGATCTCGTATTGGTACTCTTAGCCAGTACACTGTTTGCTGATACATAAGAATATGCCAGGATGTGACTTGATTTGATTCATGGGCTGCAATCAGTGAAATGATTTTATACACATAAATACATTGTTGATTTAATCCTGATGTCTACATGATAACTATTTTTGTCCTGTACGTCCTGCTGTCGGTCAGCCAGGTGTAGACAGGTTGTCCAGCCGCTGTCCTGCTGACGGACAGCTGGTCTGCTGACAGATGCTCAACAGAGGTTAGAGTGAATTGCAGGGATCGAGCCCTTC